TTGAGTTAATTCTTAATACAAGTTAATCGAAGTTTAATCAAAATCATTTTAAGGATTGGAAAATTGAAACAATCTCTCTTCCTTTTTTCTTTCTCTTTTTTTCTCTTTTTCTCAGAGCTGTAACGGCCTATTGGTTCTGTTCGCCATTTCGTACGAAAATATTTTGTTATTTGTATTCTAAGTAAAAAACAGGAACCACTATAATAGGGATAGGCGACAGGGTAGCTAGGGTCGATTAGAAATAGGCAATCTACAATCAGGCTCATACTTCAATTATTTACTCAGCTATTTTGCTTGTCGCAAATCCTTAATTCGAACTATTACTGCACGGCCGGCACTATGGAATTAATGTCGTATGAGCAATTCGCATCAATGACGTATCGCTTTAATTAAATGATTATTGACATTGCCTACCTATTTCATTTCAGTAACATTAGTTCACTTGCGTATGGCATACATCGAAATTCCCGTGTATACTTTGCCGTTAAAATATATAACTACATTACACTGATACTGATAAGATATATCGCTGCTTTTCTCGATAAAATTTATAGAACGAAGATATTATTCCACCTTTAATCGCTGCATTCGAGTACGATATTGCACTTTGTATTGCCGATTTAGATTAGAAATTTGCAACAGTTAGATTTCTTCTTGCGCTACGGATTTTATTGCAATGAATATGCAGTTACGTCTGTTATGTACCGTAAAGTTGCATGTTATTTAGGAAGCATGTGTTATTTTATCGCTATTTATATAAGCACAAGATATTTGATGAAAGTGAGACACCTGATCGGAAATCAGTAAATTACAGGCTTGCCATTTTTATTTTTTATTAATTAACAAGCTGTCTGTTGATTTTATAACGGATAGCTAGGCGATTATTAGAGCAGTGATAGCTATCGGTTTATTTATAGATGCTCTAAATTATTTCTAATATTTATAAATCGGCGAGATTGCGTTCTGATTTCGACTGAGCAGCGAGACATCATTCGAATTTACAAGGCTCGACAGAGCAAGCCTCTCGCGTGTGATATTGATTCGCATTTAAAAATCTCTTGAAGAAAACAAATTAATAACATACCTTATTAATCATTAAGCCTATGTAACAAATATCGATCGAAACATTATCCAGTCGCTTGCTTGGCACATTCCTACATTCCGTCTTTATCATCATACGATTGGGATTTCGTATTTTTCACGAGGATTTGGTGGCAGGATGCCTGACTAGGAGATTCACTTCACCGTCGTGTAGCTTTTTCATCAATGACCACGCTTCTATCCTCGACATTCGTGTTACATCGTTACCGTTTACTTCGAGCAGTTGGTCCCCCGCTTTTAAGGCACCCGTTTTCTCGGCAGCACCCCCTGTCGTGGAAGATAAATCTGAGAAAATTAATACTTCCCGATTACCTTATATATTTATCATTTCGTTCTTAAGAACCATTCGCCATTCGACTCGGCGTTACCCTTCATCAAAGTATCACGATCATATACACAAATTTACAAAAGGTTTATACCGGTGAATATCTTCTTGATGATCAGAGGTCTGTCCCCGAGGGGACTGTCCCTACCGCCTTCCAGACTGAATCCTAGACCAGCTCCATCCTTGTAGACCGCCACGGTGGACGGCGGTCCCCACGCGGTGTCCTCCACGTTTCCATTCGTCTCTAACCCTATGCAATCCGAGAATTCTCTCATTTACATCGTTTTCATTATCGTCAAAATAAAAATCGTGAGAGAGGGGGGGGGGGTTCTCACGAACGCACGTTTCCCTTACCCTCAACGATGGTTTCGACACTCGCGGTCCGCGATCTCAGCTTACAGCCTTCCTCCATCCTGACTCTCGACACGACCAGCACGACTTCCGACCTCGGCTGCTTCAACACCGCCATGCTCTCCCTGTGCGTGAGACCTCGCGTGCTACGGCCGTTTATGCTGAGGATCCTGTCGCCCCTCTGCACCCGGCCGTCCTTGTCCGCGATGGAGTGCGTCAGTACTCGGTGAACTGTGATCTCCTTCACCTCGCAATCCGCGCCGCCGGCCAGAGTGATGCCGACGCTGCCCGTCGGGTTCTCCTTGTGCAGCAAAACAACTATGACGTCGTGCGCCCCACGTGCCTCCTCCAAGCTCGCCTCCTCGACGAGCTGCGCCAGCTCCTGCTGCGAGATCAGGCTGGTGCTGCTGGCCAGTGAACTGATACTGCCGAATTGCTCGCCGTAGCATCTGTCGGCCTCCGTCTCCGTGCCGATGTTCTCGTCCACGCTGCTGTCCAGACTTGGAAATCGATTGTGGGCGCTACTGCCGGCGTTCTGCTGTAACTGGCCATGCACGGGACTCACGTCAGTCTTCTCTAGGGCCTTCTTCATATCCGTAACGCTGACGCTGCGTCGATTCAAGCTACGGGAGGTCGGGATCTTCGACGCTGTCACGCTTCTCATTCTTTCCACGCTTTCCGACGTCTCGTCGCCGCTGTCGACAGCCTTGTTTCTTCCCAAAGTAGGTATCTTCGAGATGAAGGTTCTGTCCTCCGACCAGGAATCATTCGATGTGATGGAGCCTCTTCGACCGTATCGATTTTCCTTCACGTCCCAAGCTGATTTTATCGGCGAGCTCGTTGTTATCGTGCCGTTCTTCTCGACTTTCGGCTCCATACTCTGTGCGCGGAGTAACTTCAAATCTGACTTAGCGCCGAGAATATCCTCGAGGCTCATCTGGCTCTTCGATCTGCCGAAAGTGCCCTCGTCGACGTGAATAGCTGATCTGGAGCGGCTCTTTGTCGTTAAAATTGTCAAGAGATCGTTTTGATCTTCCGTGTTTTTTCTGGGAGTTAAACTTGCTCTGCCTTGCATTTTTTCCACCATGGCGATCTTCGTTTCGTTTACCATAGTTCTGTTCTTTGAAGACAAATCACCATTGGAAGCTGTACTAACAGGCTCGTTGAATGTAGAGCCACAACTGTTTCTCGTTGCGCGAACGATGGGTGAAGTTTCCAAATTTTGAGCTGCGATGGACGGACTCTTGTCGTACTTATTGTTCACTTTTTCTTCCATGGATCGCGCCAAAGTCTTCGCCTCCGCTCGAACCCACATTTTGAGGTCATTTGACGGCTCTAACATTTCGGACTTGGGCGGTCTAGCGGCCGGTGGTGGAAAGCTCATTTTCGGCGGCAATTTAGGTTTCTCCTCTTTCTTCTGAAACGAATCTTCGTCCTCCGCGAAGGGATCCGCGACTTCTATGTAGGCGATCTTGATGTCTTGTTTGCTCGCGGCATCGTTCTCCAAGTTATTGCCCATCTGATGAATGGCACCGCCGTTCTCGACGGCTCCCCTCGCGGCGTCTTCGTCATCCGAGAACTTTCGTTGGATCAGCGGCGATCCGTTGAGATCTCTGCCGCTGCGGCATCTAGCGCTGGCCAAAATGTTCTTCCGATTTATCGCCTCAACACTCTGCGGCTTCAATACTCTTCGAGACAGGGACTCGGCGCTGGCCTGAGATCCGGACGTAAGCGTCGAGGACGTGCTGCAGTTCGTGTCGGTGCTGTTCGACCGCCTCAGCTGTCTCTGAGGGATCTGCGAGTTCCTCGAAATGAACTCGTTCGGCTGCGGCGAGCGTGGATTCGAACCGCTGCTGCTGGAAGACGATCTCTCGGCCAAGTACGCACGTTCACCGAGAACGCCTATTCTGGAGGCGAATTGATCTTTATCGGACGCGGCAATAGGATCTCGGACATCCCGCGCGATCGAGATTCTGCTCAGACTGTCCGCGATCAAGGGCCGACGCGGGCAATTTAATTCCGTGGAAACGTAGGATCTCTCCGACGAAATGGTGGATCTTTCCGACGGTACCGGAGACATCGGCGGACTGAAGCCGCGGGATATGCTGCTCTGAGAGCTACTAACGGCCGAATCGTTGTCGGAATCGTCGTAATCCAAGCGAGCCTTCCTCTGCATCGTCCTCGGTCTGGTACGCGAGCCGTCCGGCGAGCTGGTGGTCGAGGCGAACTCGAAGCTGTAATCGCTTCTCGTCGGGCTGCAGATACTTTCCAGGCTTTTCGGTGGCTCCGAAAACGTCGCGGTCGGTTGAGAATTTTTAAGAGTCGGGCTGTTGCCGTTTATCGAGGAGCTTGTCGTCACTGACGTGCCGTAGACCGTCAGGGACTTTCTCTTGAAAGCCGGAGAATACTTGGAATGTATCTGAGGCGCCGGCATCTTGAAGGACGTCGTCGCCTTCAAGGGCTGGCTCGCCGTGCTGGCGTTGCTTGTCAAGGAACTTTGCGATCCCCATTTGTCCTGAATGTTTGCCTTTGATATCTGGAACAGACGTTTAATAGTGCATTATTCTTAATGCACGCGTAAAATAAGAATATATAAAAATATAAATTTGACACAATTTGTGATAATAAATTTTTCAAAATAAATTGAAATAAAATTACGAAGTATATAAGATTAGTCTAATATGAAATTTAAAAATTAAAAGTCACCAGTTCAAAATAAATTGAAATAAGATTGAGATATAGATTAGTCTAGTATGAGATTCCAGGATTGAAAATAGTTTACATCAAGTGTCATTAAAATTTCAAATCTTTTACCTGATGTAATAATATCGAATCTCGTGATTTAATTTCCGGTAGATCGATGATAGGTTGATCGATTGGCACGGTATCTTTTTCCGGTATAACCAGACCACGTAGTTTCGATATCGATCTTCGTCTCTGCTCGATTAATTGGTTCAAGCTGCTCCTCCTCGCGTCTTCTCCGGGTCGTCTGAAGGTGGACGCCAAGGAATTCGTTCTCGAGATTTGTGAGTTATTGATGGAATCGGTTGTCAGAGTATTTCGATCTTGCGCGAAAGGTGCCGAAAAGCTGGTGGCTCGCGTCAGTAAAGGCGTGCTCGTTGTCTTGATCGAGTTGTTAGAATTATTACAAGGGCTTACAGTTTTATCGATATTCGAGTACACGGAATTCGGCAAGTTGCTATTTTCGGTGGTGTTCGGACTATAATTTTTCATCGTCATATTTAAGAAATTTTGCTTGTCGAACGAAGATGACAACGGGCTGGGCAGCGACGTAGTTTTCGGCGGAATGATCGGTAGCGTCTTTGGAACTCTTGCAGTTTGGACAGTTGGACTCAACAGAGTAGGCAGAGTGGTCTGAGGTAAACTAGGCGTTCTCAGGCTGTATTTCTTCACGGAATCATTCCCTGTGGTGCTCTTGGCCGAATCGGTGAGGTCGAAGGAGCTTTGCGTCCTGTCGGCGAAAAAGGACGGCCTCTCCTTCTGACCGTTGCTCTTGTCATCGCAGTAAACGTCTTCGGAGGACTTGTACTTGGACAGACGTTTGCTGCTGTTCGTAGCTGCCGCCGCTGTCATAACATTGGGGAATACGGGCGCGTCAAGGCTGCTCTGCGACGAGAACATGGCGATCTTGTCTCGAACAGATCGTTCGGACTTGTCGTCCTGCCTCCACAGATCGCCGTTCAAGGAAAACTTTCTCTGCGGCGATTCCATCGTAGGAACATTTCTCGCATGCAAAATCACTTGCTCCATTTTCGGTGGACCTGCGAACGATAAACGTGCCTTTGCAGAAAAGCGCGAACAACAAAGGTGATATAAAAACGTGATGAGATTGAGATGATTTTGATGAGGGAAGAGGAGGAAAAATCAATCACCTCATCGGAATATTGAATTTAATAATTTAATAATATGTTTCTGATATGTCAGAGCTGTTTCGCGGAGAAAAAGAACGGAAAGAGAGGCTTAATTCGAAGCTAGATAAGTAATGAGTACCTGTCAATGGTAGAGGCGGCGGGATATCAACAGGCGTGTCCTTTTCCACGTGGCTTGGCACTTCGTCGATCGTCACCACGTCCTTGTGACAATATCCGGCAATCTCCGTTTTCTTCTCGCTCATCATTAAATTGCTGTTGGTCTGACAAGAATAAAGAGAACTGCCCGTGACGGTGGGAGCGTTTTTCTTCGCGTTATCTTCCGAACTGTGATAAGACGATTTTTTCTCCTCGTTAGTAATCTCGGTGGACTTCACGTCTTGACATATATTATCCACAGTGGCCGTCACAGCCTTGCCCATCTCGGATCGGACGCTCTCCATATTTGCCAAAGCGACTTTGTTTATATCCTGCCTCACGTTTTCACCGCCTGTGAACGTCATCTTGCTATCGGATAGAATAATGCTCCTCGAACCGACAACGTTGCTGTCGTTCGCGAGCATTTTAAGAGCCTCGCCGGCATGGAACGATTCGTTCTCGTTGCACAATCCTCCGATATTCGTGGTTATCGTCGCCGTCCTTGTCGCGGCGATATATCTATACGATGGCTGGTTGTTACTGTTGCTGAATTCTTGGTACGCAGCTGGAAATTCGTCCCCGTCCGGGGGCAGGCGCTGACCGCCTCCGCAATTCTCCATCTTACCATTTACCGTGTCTACAACAGCATTTTCGAACGTTTTTCGATATAAAACTAGTATTGGTAACTAGTAAGATATTTTATATGTTAAAACTAAATTAAAATTAAATTAAATTAAAAAAAAATTATGCAGAAATAGTTTACTAAAATTGTTCCTTTGCGTAATTTTTTTTTTTTTAAAGAGTGTAATAAGAGATCTATATGATTGACGTTTCTGTATTGTGCTTTAACAAGTTATCATTTGTATGAAATGTCTGTTTCGTTTTCTGATAAAGTAGCGAGTTCAAGGTGAGACAAAATTTGCATTGATGGAATTTGAATAGCTATCCTCATTACTCAGTCAAATATCGTAGATCGCGTGGATTCTCGTAAAACGTTTGTAAATGCTTTATTCTTTGTACGGCTATTTCGTCGTTACATATTTACGATGAAAGAAGAGCCAAGTCGTTAAGAATTCTTTTGTACACCTTGTAAATTTCATTCTAGCGTTCTTTAGCTTTAATATAATATGCGCTGCGAATATATTATGCTATGCTTGAAGAATTCCTTCGGGAAGGAAGTGCATCGACAAAAATATTTGCACCATTAAATAGCGAAGCAAACCACTTGAATGATTCATCGTGCGTATCAACACATTATACATCGCAGTGAATGCATTATCAGTTAAAAAATGACATCATCTCTTCGATTTTCCATGCTTTCCGTGTGACGAATCGCAAGCGCGCAATTTCGTAATTCTTTCATGTTTGTCAAATAAGTTCGCTAAAATATGTTAAAAAGAGTTTCAGTCTATTGAATTTTAAGACTTTACTTTCCATTCGTAAAATGCAAATTTTAAAAAAGAACCTAAACTTAAAAAGGAACTGCATTTTTAATCTTGATTTTTCTTTCGAAGAATTACTCCGAATTTTTAGTTTCACTTTGCATTTTTATTTACTCTCAAGATTAATATTTACTCCGAATTTCTTGTTAAATTCGAAAGCGAAATTATTTGGCTCGTATAAATTTGCATAATCTCAAGGTTTTCCACATTCTAGCGCGAGTCTACTGATAAAGCATGCACGTAATCTAGTCTAAGTATGGATATTTAAATTTGGCATGTTACCGTAAACAACATGACTCTTCATGATGAATATCGAAATACGTGTGTGTGTGTGTGTGTGTGTGTGTGTGTGTGTGTGTGTGTGTGTGTGTGTGTGTGTGTGTGTGTGTGTGTGTGTGTGTGTGCAAGCATGAATTTATCACGAATCCGATCGTTATCCATTCTGCATAACTAAAAATTTATTAGTTCACAATTAACTGTAAAAAGAAACTATCCGCATTCGGTTCTCAATAAATAATGCAGGTGTATTAATGAATAATATTATAAAACGGAATAAATTGAGAGATTAATAATTTTTTGAAATAAAAACTGCTGTCTCGAAACGATAAAGCGGGATATAATCGCAAGTGTCGGGCATCGCACCATATATTTTCATTTGCGTTTGGCAAATATTTGATCACGAACTCGTGATGAAGTTATAATTATTACATCGTTATAACTAGTCGGTTGAACGAATTATGTAAATGAAGATCTTATCTGTTATTTTTTTCTTTTTTCAACTAGCGTTACGTTCTATGAGTTATGAAGAGAAACAACTCAGGAAATCAGGAAAAAATATATGCATAAAGAATTACAGCTGGACAACGTGCGCTCTGCATTTGCTGGCGCGTCAGATTTGCAAGCAACCGTTCGAAAACGAAACGCCTTGCGAAATAATATACCTGATTAGATACGGCGCGCGTGCAACATCCAGAATTCACGGAGGAACAGTCTTGCCTTGCAAATCACTTTGCGGGCATTCGAGCGGCGCGCAATTAATTTTAATCATCGAAGAGTACATAACATACTCGACTCGCGATTATGGCAAACTTTCACGTGGAAGAAGTTCATTGTGCGTTTTGCGCGAGCCCGAGCCCGGTTCGCGGTGCGGCTTCTCAGAAGAACGTTGATGTATCGTCGGGATGAAAGAGGTAACAAACGGTGGACGTTTCTCGTTCGTACCGCGAGGCAAGAAGGCTGTCGTAAGACTGGGCGACATTGCTCAGCGAGGCCAGCTTCCGCGGTTTAGCGCCGACATCAAGCGCTTTCGTGTGCACGAGAGAAGGGATAGACTCGCGTTTTTCAGTCACCGCGGCCACGCTTTTAACTTGCCGCTTGGAATTGCATTCTTTCACCGATGTTATACCGTATACGAAAAATCAACGCGTCATTTTGTACCCCATCCTCGACCTCTATGCCAGTACTTCTCTTCTTTGATTTCCTCTTCGATTCGCGTCTGAGATTTATTTCTAATTGATCGGGACAGCCGCGAGATAGTTCGAGAGGCATATTCGTCAGGAATTAATTAACTGCCCCAGACGGGACAATCTCTCCTGGAATGCGTAGATCTGCGTGCCGCGTACCAGTTCGCGAGTGTCGCCCGGGCAGTTACGTGAGTCGATTAATCTTGCGGAATGTGTCAACGAAACGAAACCGTTCGTCGGGGAGAAGTCGTAGGACGCGGATCTGGAGGCTCTATGCTGGACTGGATGTACCGCTATGCGATATAATCGGCTTTAATATGAACCGATAATTTTGTCATGAGCCACTGAGTTACGTGGCTTAATAATAATAATTCCGTGAGCAATTAAATGATTCATCGATAGAAACGGGATGTATCGATCTACACATTGAAATCAGTGACGCATAATGCGAGCGCAAAAGTAAGACTTTTAAATCTTGATTACGATGCAAATCTCCAAAAATTTATGTGATATCAATTTTGATACACATTAAAAAATTTTTCTTCTTATCCTACGAATTGTAAAGATATTATAATTGCAAAATTCTTTGACATAGAAATAGCATGAGTTGGTGAACGATATCGAAGATGTAATTGTTTTATTTGAAATTAAAATAAGTCTTATTATTTATGCTCGCACGTATTCCGATGATATAGAAATATGATAATAACGATAATAATTACGCAAATTGTGGCTGTAAATTACGTCATCGCGCATATAATTTCAAAGCGAAGATTACGCTTGATTACGCAATCGACGGCGAATAGCTTTCTTCGTGGAATACTGTTTTGGAAAAGAAAGAAGGCTGACCGCAAAATCAATGCCGTCGTTAAAAGTCGCTTGTCCTTGGCACGAGATCCGAATCGCTCGTGTTGCGTCAATGTACTGGAACCTTGTAACACGATTATTAATTTATTGTATTTGTCTTCTCTAATAATAGTCTCCCTCTCTTTCCTCATCCGTCGATATGACAAATGTTAAATGTCACGCCGTTAAATGTCCTAAATGATGTATCACCGTAAAGCAATTAAAGTACAGCGAATAAATAATTCATCTTCAAATGAAACATCTTTAATGCTCGATTCATTGTTCCTCTAAGAAAAGTATAGCGTTGTAGTTATTCTAACACATTTTACAAGCATTATGTATCTTTCAGCATGAAAAGAAAAGTTTTGACGAAATGATCTAAAAATTTTACCATCTGAAAATAATTTTGTTGGGCCACCGAAATTATTATGTGTTATATAGAACAATAAAATATAATGATAATAGTGCAAAAATTTTTAATATTTTAGCAACTAATTTAAATGATTTAAAAAAAATATAAATATTTTGGTACAGAACAACAAAATTATTTTCAGATTTCCATCTGACCAAGTTTTTAAATACTTCAAACAAGAGTGTTCTTCCCGTGTACATATTTTGTTTTATATTTTCGGAAAAGTAATCTTCTTTTGGCTCTCTGGCTCAGATCGGGCAACTTAATACATCGAATATTACAGGATCTATCTCAAGTGGCAGAGATTAGGAGCAACTTCATACTCTCCCCTACTTACGTTTCGTCACGCAATACTCGTCAGATTATTATCTGGTGAAGATTATTCATATTAATAACGGCCCCACAATTCGTGACCATTCCGCGTAAACGTCCTAGTTTTTGCGATTTGATTTTCTATACGCACGAGTCTCCTCGTATTCAGCGATCGCTCGCAAAGCTCGCACGAGAAGAAATGTCCGATAGCGTTCGACATAATAACGGCCGTGCCAGTGTTAGATAATCCGTGCCGAACGGCCGTGTCGTACGATCGACGAACTCGGATAAAGGGACAGCCGATGCGGCCGATTCTCGTCGGTTGCGAAATCGCCAACGCTTTTGCTTTGGTAATCTCACACTCTGATTCACGCGTTACATCACCTTTCTACCATTTCCATCGTGGACGGCGGTATTATTGCGCTGTCGCGAATGGTTAAAAGGTCCTTAAATAAGACACGGATTCGCGTTACATCGCGCCGACACCGGGCACGGTGTCCATTTATCACGTTTAACACTTCTGACACTCTCTCGCGCGGAAGTGAGAAGTGTCATATCACGAGGGATTCATTTAAATTCGTCCCCGAATGCCGCGGATTAATTCCCACATTTCGTGAGAAGGGACCCAGGACGAGAGGTTGCCCAACGTGTTTAAGCCTCTTATCGAAAGCCTGAAATTAGTAGCCTGAAATTTCGAGATTTTACGTTTTTTTCATCAATCTCCAAAGGTGAGATTTCCAAAGGTGAAATCTTTCTACTTAATGGGTGGAGAGATTCACTCATGTTCGACGTCACGGCTTTGCCGTTAGGTGCTAACTCGAGGTGTTTCGTGGGCAGAGATAAAGCCTTACATCGCGGAAGTGCTACGTCGCGGTGACGATTAATTCCATCCGCGGTATCTATCTACCGATAAAATCGACAGTTCTCTCGAACGAATCTCGGACTACCTGGCGTATGCAATCCGACTATATGCGGACCATAAAATCCCGACATGGCGCGACGCGACGTGGAGTTCGGCCGGTGTTCGCGCGCGGATTCACAAGAGGATTTGACACGGCGTGAGCAGTCGGCAGTACATTTTTGCCACTGCACCGGCTAGACGACGAATATTCCCCGTTCAGAAAATAAGATTCCAGAATGCGGAAACATTGGCATTAAACGCGGCGGGCCGATGTACGTGCTTCGAGAGGCCGATGACGTTTACCATCGCCGACTCCGCTCGTGCCTTCGTGGGAGCGGGCTGTAAAACGAGTAGGAAGCGAATCACTCCGCGAGAATCCTATCCAATTAATTTTTTACGGAAAAAGAGAAAAAGACTGATAGCGGACTGATAGCCGTTCGTTGCATCCACTTGGGGAATCGCGAGAGTCGCGTCGAGACAAAACTGCGAGGATGCGTATCCTCGCGTGCGAAGATAAAAGACGGAGAGAGAAAGGCATTCGTTATTATCCCCGAGAGTCCCTGGCGAGGCCACGCTAACAAATGGCTTTAAAGCTTACGTAGAGAGAAAAAAAAACTGGACGATTAAGATGCCTCAATTTCCTGTCGTACTTTGATCCTTCTTCCCCCAACGTCGTTACACAGGCTATTTCTAATAGTTTCCTTTTTGCCGCGAAAGCAGTTTAGCATTTTAATACCGTGACAACTTCATTGACTATTCGATTAGGTTACGAATTATAAATTTCATTCGTTTCCTTTCTATTTCGATTAAAAATCGTGACTCCGACGTTCGGGCGGGCACGACCGACTCGTTGCTCGTTGCTGTTTTACAAGGCGGCGTGAGGTGTTTGTTATCCAGCGTTACTGGTTTCGAGCGAGATCGTGACATGTCAGGAGGATCTCAATGTGAAGTTCGCAACACGATCGAGGGCGAATTCTTGCGGACTTTCACCGTGCCGAAGGACGAGAGATCGGCGTAAAATGTTGGCGCATTCGCGCGGCTTAGTTAATACCATTGTTACCGATCTCGCGGCCGATTCGGCACGCTGACCGCGTACGTCATATGCCCGCCTGACATTTTCGTTTCATTTCGCGAAGGAGCGACTTTGACACGACACCGTAACCCGGAATTATCTTTGTGAATAATACAATCTACGGACCACTGCGCACGGAGCGCGATAGTACTGTTGAAATCGTCGAGTCATACCTTAATGTCCCCGCGATAAGATCGTTCGGGAAAGTAATATGCTGATCATAGAGCAGTTTTTTGCGGTCCTACATTGTTCGACAATCGCGCGAAAAAATCGCGATATACACTCGCTTTTATCGCTCAGGCCCGTTTCGAGGTATTTCGATCGACGAGAGAAAAGAATAAACGTTCCATAGATCTCTAATGATCTCTGTTTCTCTACCTTTGTTCGGGTTCTTGCTTTCCTCCTCCGTGTATTCTGCAATCTTGCTCACGCGGACTGCTTCGTCATCTCGCACTGCAACAAATGCACGTACCTTTATTTATTATACATGATGTCTAGCCATTACTGTATCAACCTTTAAGCATAAGCACGTCTGCGCGCGAAAGGATACAACTCTGCTCGCCAGCTACGATCGTGCGAGAAATCACTGTCATTTTGTCGAAACAGCGAAAGTAATCGCCCGACCGCCCGAAGGCGACAGGTAAAGAGGGGAAAAAAAAATCAGATTGGAATGTATAGTAATTCGTATCCTTGCGTCATTCGTGCGATCGTACTTGTGGAATATATTATTTTTATAAACGCGTTCTGCATGAGGCACCGCCGGAACTGCCCTATGGATGACATTTCAATTAAGAAAAGTTAACGGCGGGTTAAGCGCGGAGAGGAGTCCTACGAAAGACGAGAGACGTACATAAAGAGGTCACTGATAATGAATCGAGGTAATAGTTTGCTCCGTCGGTGGACACAGCTGCACCGTTGACTCCAGTTGACTCTGCGCCTATTAAACGCCAGATACATCAGATACACTGTGCATGTGCATCAAACGCAAAGTCTTTAAGAAATATATCTTTTCTATATAACGCATCGTAAATCGACATTACAATTTTTTAATTTCTTAAAAATAACACAAAAAGATCTCATTTCACTCGAAATTTCCTCAGGCATATCTCGCGCGCTGGAACGATCGCATTCGTGAAAAGCGAGCGATCGATATTCTTTATCTTTAAGATAATTTTTTTATCTTAAAGAAGTAACACAGGAAACTTCCATTTTATTCGAAATTTCTTCCGCGAGATTCATAATTCGCGTGCATATCTCGCGCGCTTGGATGATCACATTCGCGAAAAGCGGCCGATCGAATTGAACGGATAGGGAATAAAAAGTCCGATGTTTTTTCCCGCATTGTGTCGACGATGCACCGCATTCTTCGCCGGAGAACGCTACTGCGGCGGCAGGCGGATTAGTCGCGCGATCTTAGTCGTTTTACGACTTCTTGTATTGCGGTCGACTTTTTTTTCTTGTTCATGCGAGGTTGGAATGAATTTTATTCGAATTGCTTTTACGTTCAAAGGTGAATTGATTTTATTTTATTTAAAGAATGCCGTTAGTAGTTACTAGTCGTTTGATGAAAAATTGACATGCGCAGACGCGGCAATGTTAAAAAACAAATATTTATAATTATAAAGACTAAAACTTTCTTTCTTTTGTAATATGTATTTAGATGTAAATAACATCAAATTGAAGAATCTAGAATAAAGAGCAGGAGCGTGCAGTCTTTAGATGATTACTCTCTACATTTCGTAATATTTTTTACGAGTGGTCAATTATTTCCGAGTTTCAAATTCAGAAATATGTGGAGGACAGGGGGAGGACGGGGAAGGACGAGAGAAGAATACGAGAAGGAAGGAGTGAAAGGGCCACGCAAAGTTCAGCGAGCCCAAGAAAGGCAGATGCACGGAAACCGAGGGAGCGAGAAAGAGAGAGGCAGAAGGAAGGAAGCAGAAAGAGCGAG